ACTAGAAGTTGACTTTTCCCACAATCAGATGAGTAGGTCTCATGTTTTCGTTGAATTCCACATATCTTCTACAAAAGTTTAAATCAGACAAGGCGGTTTGTGGTGGGGTAGGATGAAAAAATGGGAATTTTTCACCGTCAACTTGATCGACCTCGCGACGCCATTGACCAACCAATAGCTTCTTCGTCAGAGCTCAACTCGCCGACGGCCGTGCATGTGAGGGGGAGGGGTGACATGGTCGACTCGGTTTCGCATCGCATTGAGGCTGTGGCTGGGGTGCTGGCCGAGCTGACAAAGGCCTTCGGCATCCAAAGGTGTATGAAATTCGTTGGTATCGTCCGATGCACCTGTTTCATTGTGGGAAAGGGTCTAGACACTTATTTACTTTATATACTCCTCTTTGGCTTCGTTGAAGTATGTTCGGGTTATAGGATATTTACTGTTGCTGCCATGACGATTGCTCGAATGGTTTATGTTGTATTGTTGTTGGCAATCGGGAATAGTTTTATTAGGCCTAAATTGTGTAGTGTCTTGTTGGGTCTTTATGCCTTTTTGGTCAGTTTTACGAAATACTTTCCATTTATTTTTTGACTCGTTAGAGTCCATGGCTATCCCAGTCTGGTTAGATGCTGCCCACATGGGAATTATTGTTCACCACAATTGTCCATTGTTGACTAGGTGCTTTGTCCCATGGCAACACGACCAAGTTGAGAAAAAGTGGTCACACCAAGAATTTTACATGTTAGTTTTAGTGGGTGTCTTCTCTTGGAGACCGCTTTTCCGGCATTATTTGGTCTTTTATGTGCCGTTTCATTGCAGTTGGTTTGAGGCGATAAGGAGACTGGTAGTTGGATTTTCCCACAATCTGATGCGTCGATCTTGCCTCTGCATTACATTTCACATGTGATTTATTGGAAAAAAAATATTTTCATCCGGACCCAAGTGGACTACAGTCTCGAGCTGGCCGGCGGGACTCAAGCCGTGGCAGTGCAGCGCCCAACCTCGACAGGTTAACCACTGCGCCGCGTTGCCACGAGTGCCACGGGGTCGGAGGGCAGATGTGAAATTGAAGAGAGGCCGGACATCTTGCCACGTCACATTGTGCGCTGCGATTGTCGATGAAGCAATATCTTGTGTCTGCCACGGCAGTCGACGACGTCGCCTGTTTTTCGTTGTGGCGAACGCTTGTCATCTCGAACGAAATAGGGTGGATTGGTTTCGTAGGCAAATGGTCTTCTGGCATTCTCTACAACCCACTTGTTTGGTCTTCTTGTGATTGACATAGTATCTCGTCAATGTCAGTTTTGATTGCCCTCTTCGGCCAGTTTGGTCATGTGTTTTGCCAGCGTTTTGTTCGCCCTTCTCTGCATACAGGCCGTTTTGTAAGCCTGTTCGTAGACCGACAAACCGAGCGCAGCCCCACAAGGCCGGCTCGGCCGACACCTGCTCAGTCGCGGCCGCCGGCATGGGCGATGTTGGCCGGACCGGTTGGCGGGCAAAACAAACCAACAAACCAACAAACCAACAAACCAACAAACCAGC